ATCACATTTACAAAACAGTATGAAATTGTGCACATACGTGGTTTGACTGTCGTTGTAGTCGTCGTCGTCGTTGTTGTTGTTGATGTCGTTGTTGTCCTGGCTGCAAAACAGTAGGAATTCCGTTGGACATTCAAAATCAGATATCATACTGATAAATGTGAAGCAATCAGGTATGTAACAACTTGGATATCTAAAACGAACAAGTCGTCGTTGATGCTGGCTTGAGGCGCGAGGTGGAACCAAACCCCAGTGATCTGCCGATGACCATATGTACTGCACATGCGCAATAAATCCATTTCGCAAAACCAACCCTAATTAGTCAAGTAATCACGTTGTGATCAATGCTCGAACTATGCATCATTGACTGCAGACAGTATTACCATACCTCAGTGGACAATATCTGGTCGTTACTTGCTCACCGGATGTAAATGAGATCACATGATAGTTGCAATTCTCCAAATTACCAGTGCCGATCTGTCACCGGAACAACTTCGTCGGTTTTCGACACATCAGTCGAACGAAATGTGGACTGTCGAAGCGAATGAACGAACAACAACGGTTTATCTGGAGCATTGCAATTGAGACCTTCGTTCGTTTTCCATACTTTTTCAGTTTTTTTCAAGTGAAATGTACTGTCTCACTCTAGTGCTGGCGAGAAACGTATATACTCCAACCAGGTGTTTTGATCCTATCCACTGGCACCTTCATCATGATCCCCAATGTTAAAAATCTCAATAGACGACAACCGAATGAAAGGTAAAAATACGAACTTCCTTCATATTATCTTCAATTTCAACGAAAATATTGTCGGAAAATTCAGATTTTTCACCTCGATAAAAGCATTCTCCTCCACGGACTACACCCACTGAGGCCGCTTCATTACTCTGTCTAAGGTATTCAATCATGTCAGTGTCGATTTCACTTCACCCTAATGAGCAGTTCTGCATGTTTTTTTTAGTAAAGCCTGAAGTGCTCATGCACATTTAGGTATACGAATAGCCCAAATGCTTCCAAAAGGGATATATACGTGCTACACAGCGGACACGACATTGTTTCGATGCCGCGTCATAACAGCGAGCATTTGTTTGTGGCGATTAATGCAATACTGTGAGTTCATGCTGCAATATAACTTCCGGTTGATCATTCAATGCCATTGCTAGCATAATGCAGCTCTATAGTTTACTGTTGTCTGTATCAGAATCATGAACCTCACGTAGTATAGCGCGTTTGTTTGGGCCAATTCACCTCGCACCAGCTGGGAGTTTCAATAACTCAGCCCTCACTTGGGTACGACTCTTTACACAGATCATACCGAAAGCAGTTCCTTGCGTTAAGTCCACCTAGATTAAATTACTTCCCATCACGAAAGAGACAAAATTCCGTTGGTTTTCTTCCAAGTTACGTGGGTTTCATTTCTCACTAAGTTTTTTCTGTCGAACCAAAAACATCGTAGTTGAAATGAGTTATTGGAACAACGTGAGTTGCGTGATTAGGGTTTGGTTAGGGGTTAAGGTCAAGTTATTTGATTCCGATGTCTTTGATTTGACATGATCGTATTATTGTGCGTTTATGAGTGAAAAGCTATTTTGTTTGTAACTTTGGTAATAATTTTATACGCCTTCTCATTTTCTTGTATTTCATTCAAGGCACCGACCGTTTCAAGTGTTCGTTGTACCGTTCACACCGACACGTTCAACTCAAGCACAGTTTTAATTCTCGACACATGGCTCACGGAGTTTGAGGCAGTACGTACCGATCGACTCGTCACGTTCTCAGAGAGATTTTCCGGTGTCCAGTCTGTTTGCATGATTTCTATCTGCTTCCCTCTCAAACATCTTGGCATAGTATGATTGTGACCTATCAGCCGGTGCGAGCATGTTGTGTGCTGGCATCGATGTAACGAAAGACATCACTTTTGCATATCTCGTTCACAGTGGGCTTCTTTCATCGCGCCACGTTTGGTACTGTTTGTAGTGACCAGCTTGGTTAGATTCGTTCTTTCAAGGTTATTGGGAGGGATTTGAGCATGACGGTAGCTATCAGCAGCTTTTGACCTCTTACTCACCACAGTTGCAAATTACTATACAGAAATACAAACTCGAGATATGTATCGCACTCGTTTTAAAACCGTTTTGGTTGTGTAAGTACCATGGAGGATGATGCAAAACGTTTGTCACGGTGAAAATTCCTTTTTCACGAAATATTTTCGTTGAAGTTTCGTATTTGGACTTATAAATCGGTTGACATCTGGAATTTCATAAATAGGTGATATTCGCGTGTGGACGAGCGGAGACATTCCCAAACGTATGGGGGCGGAGGATGCAGTAATTTTATCGCGGGGTACATTCGTCCGGATCGTCGGTTTAGTAGACTAAATTGATATTTCAGTAAGTACAGGTGCTCAACTGACAATAGTAGTAGTCTTCATCTGTTGGAACCTCGCACATGCGTGCAACGTGCCCAATAATCCGAGGTATCACAGTCACGTGGACAGAAAATGCCATATGCGACTGTTATAATACAAGCAACCCACTCGACCTGCAACACCGGAAATGGTAATTGAATTACGTGGCCTGCATCATTTTGGACAAGAAAAACATTCGGTCACATAACTCGTTATTGCTTCATCTCCATCAAGCTGTCGGGCAACTCAAACCAAATTTTCACACACGTCCAATCAACCGCCCCTCAACACATGCTCGAGGATGTCTCGATCAGTCGACAGCATCTGTTCGTGTGTATTTCCTGTTTTCATTGAGAAAATTTCAAATTCAATGTGCTCAAGCGAAACAACTCAATGCACAGCACACCTCACAGACACAGTGCTTCAGTACACATATACACACACATGGGATCAAGGGGAACGCGATCTCATTTGTGAAATGCACGAGCACAAAATCATGGATCAAGTGAATGTTGCAAGAATTGATGCACAACTGTTGAGCAATAAATAATCACTCACCCGAGGTGTCTATGGTTACAGGTTGTTGGAAGTATACACCGCTGGTTTGCTTCTGAACTTCCAATTCCAATTTGGTGATGTCCAAATCGACCGGAGCTTCGAAAGTGATATCCGCCTCCACGTACACATACCCCGGTTTTTCGCCTATCTTCTCCACTTTGGAAAGCGAACAATTGCTGATCTCCGGTGTATATTTGGCCAATGCCTCGTATATCTGTCAGCAAAGTAGAGCACAGATTTTCGAGCAGGTCAACCAAATCCATTCTGACAAGTGTGGAATGTAATGCAAAAGTGGACATGATATTTTCTCTGGATCACATCGGAATAACCGCTGAATAGACAGTCACACATACACACGCTCATACTGGATAGCATCACCTACACAGGCGTTCTGTGTCACGAGTCCTCCAGGTCGCGAGATTGTTGACTTTGTGTAACAGCCGAAAGCGGATAGGCGGGTTGATTTCGTCCATCAGTTTCATTGAAGTGGAATAATTGAGGTGGATATGCTCAAAAAATGGTTTGATCATCAAATGTGATGTGCTTCAATGGAAGTTTGCCACGATGAAAACAACGCACACCGATGGACAACTAAAGAACTTTGCAGTTATACTTTTGCAGCCAGTGAGCATGCATTTCCGAGCACCGGCTTCGTTTGCTCTCTTTTGCTGCCCATTCGCATAAAACAGCGGGATGAAGATGAGAATGTTGAGAGCAGAGACAAAGAGAAGATATGTAACCCATACAGAATGAGGTAGCAAGAATAGTGAGTAGATGCACAAGCACGACAATTTTTGAATCACAGTCATATGGTAAATTGTCTCTAATCGCCGGTTACCACCATCTTGGGGTCTCCATCCAGGGGATTAAACGGTACCATCATCATCTAGGGTCCCGTTTAGGGTTTTGATACCCTCATGTCAGGTCTTTTTTTGACCGTCTCTCACCGTCTTCCATTTGCTGACCGTGAAGATGACCGGTGAGTCGATCAGTCAGTAAGTCAAGCAGTTGGTCTGCCAGTAAGAGTCCCGTCAGCCAAACATCCAGTCAGTCGAGAGCGCGCCAGAAGGAAGAACAGAGACAAAAAAATCGATTGATGGACAGACGGACAGGGAGAGAGCCACCAGATAGACAGGTAGTGTGTCTACACTACAGACACACACAGTCAAAAAGATAGGATAGACGGACAGACNGACCGACCGACAGACTGATTAAACGACTCAGTAAGGTGAGAATGTCCAAATCGACTGGCAGAGATCTTGCTACAATGACAGAAACTCGGTGACTCGATGTTTGGGCAATCAAATGAGCAGACATTTCGACGAGCAAATGAAAACAATCGGATGCAAACACGCAACTAATGACAAACAGAGGCAATGAAATACATGTGGACAGGAAGAGCGATAGCTTACACCGAGAGGAATCATTTAATCAATTAATGCGAGGTTCAACGTGGCAAGAATAGGCAAGCAAATCAGGTCACAAACAGAAGTTGATGGACAGACACACTCGAAAGAAACAGACGCACATAGGTCCAGACACACCCAAAGTGAAACATATAGACCATATTACCGAAAGTCAGACAGACAGACAGACAAACAGACAGACACACAGACAGACACACATACACTGGAATATATACAGACGGAGAAACAGAAAACAGACATTTACTGTCCCACAGCGGTGCGAACAGGCTAAAAATCAGGTCACATAGCGATTTGATTTTATGCAACACACGCACCGAACTGATTGCTGACCGTGAGACTTTTCTGTAGATGGGAGAAATTACAACTGGAATAATACCAGCAAACTCATTCCATTCAATGTCCGACAATGCAGACAGATCGAGCGGATCACACGGACATGCGACCCATGTCATCAATGTATTTTACGTCATAGCACTTTCGAACCATATCCATCCAATGGATTACTCATTATCAATCACCCTGACGCAATCCTGATTGAATCGAGAGATATACAGTTGAGAGCAGTGATGCATTGTTATCGGCGATTGTGAAATCTAGTCAGACGAATGTTGTACGCCAGGCCATCAACATGTGCTCGCAATTAGGGACCGTATACAAATTTGTCAGGAGATGGGAGTGATTCGCATGCTACAAGCCGCAGAACCACATCGAATCGATCACACTTACTCACCTTCGCGCAAACGTTGGTTTGCAATAACTTGTAATCGTCACTAGTAGGGTTCAAAAAACTGTCTTTCCACGTTAACAGACCATTAGCATCGGCCACAGTCCCACTGATATACACACCTTGACAATAAAAAGAAGGTAAAATTGAACGGGTTAGATAGCAACTGGTCGTCATTCATGATTTAGCTGGAGTCACATACTTACGCAATATGGGTTTTCCTCTCCACCAGTACCTACGAGATCTTGTAAAACTAGAAGTCGAAGCGACTTGTCCGAATCATCAGCAACAGCTAAGTGCGGTGAAACATGAATCGAACGTAGGCAATGACCATAATATGCTCAATGTGGACGGGGACTTGTGGTGAACAATCATATCACACAGAGACAGAGCTAGATGCATGTGAAAAACAGAAATTAAGAGACAGTCTCAAAGCAA